TCCAAGGCACACAGTGAGTGTCCCTACTGGATGCTGGGCAGGTATGTGATTGTGTGACCATCTCCTATCCCAAGACTCTCCCTCTTTCCCACCCCATCTGTGATCTATCTTCAGCTCAAGACAAGCTGTAAGGAAGACTCAAGGACTGTGACTCCCAACAAAAATCCCTAAAAGACCTTGAGGCTCACATCCCCCTACCACATTCTCATTCCTTAAGATTCCCCAAACCCCACAGGGAAGGCCCTAACATAGCTCACCAGGCTGGGCCTCATCTACTATGCCCACCAACCCCAATGCTAAGCTCTCCACCCCTCCCTGCAAGCATCAGGCCCGCCCCTGATGACACGGCCCAGCGCTCTGACCCTGCAGCATTCTCCACATGCTGCAAGTCCAGGCATTTGCACAATATTCCATCATGACAGTTGTGTTCCTTGAACACAATGGACACACAGATAAGTGCTGATGAAATAAATCTCTGGAGGAAGCCTGACTCCTGCCCCTGTCACATTTAGTTAATGATAAAAGGGGAAGAAAAAAAGGGGGAGGAAAGACCTGGATGTCTACACTGACTTTGGGGAGAGAGCGGTGCAGTTCCACAACATCCATGATGACTCTGTCAGGTCCCTGACAAATACAGTTGGGGAACATTCCTTACAAGACTGCAGAAGACATAATAATGAAATCTATTTTTTTGTTTGTTTAATTTTTTGAGACAGAGTCTCACTTTGTTATCTTGGATAGAGTGTGATCCCTTTGCCTCAGTGTCCCAAGTACCTGGGACTGCAGGTATCCACCACAATGGCCTACTAATTTTTCTATCTTTAGTAGAGATAGGGTCTCAACCTTGCTCACACTGATGTCAAACTCCTGAGCTCAAGCAAGCAACCCACCTAGGCCTCCCAGAGTGCTACAATTATAGGTATGAGCCACGGCACCAGCAATAAGGAAATGTTTAAACACTTCAAGAAGCATTCGCTAACTTGGGTGCAATATACACTCATTCACTACTAGACTTAAGAAAAGCCACAGTAATCACTTGCTTATCAAAACATCATATTACGTATTTTTCTAAGAGGACATTTCAGGTCACTCTTTTGAGTAACAGAGCTGTCTCCTAATTTTGCCAACAATTAAAAAAAAAAATTTCTGAACAGGAAAAGGTTTTCTGTGCGGGGCTTGTTACATAAATTCCTGTTTTTCAAAGAGCCAGTAGGACATTAAAGCAGCTATGATCTCTCAGGGGTGGGGCTTGAAGAGGTAAATCTTGTAAAACTCTGTGTTACTGTTAATGGCGTTGTGTCTGCACTCCTCTGCTGGACGTGGCAGAGGCTGGATGACCACGCAGCTCACCAGTGCGGCCCTGACACAGAGCCGCACACCACCGGCAGGGCTTGAACTCTCAGGGTGTGAGGACAAGGCTCCTGCACTATCACTTAGCCAATTCCTGCATTTCTGAATGACGCCATCAGAGAAAAAGACCATCTTCTCACCTCTGGCTGTATTTCTCTGCAGTCCAGGCCTTCTGCTGCCTGGACCAAGCTCTGCAAGCAAACTCAGAAGCCTCTGTGCACACCCTCTCCGCCATCTGCCTGGCCGCCCCGAACGCGCAGCATGTTATTGTGGAGACTGACCCAGTGAGCTCCAACTTGGGGGGCAGGGGTGCCCCCACACAGTGTGCTTGCCTGTTCAGCCTGCTCTGCTGGCTGTTCAGAGGCATTCCACGTGCTCTCCAGACCAGATTCGGAGCTCCTTACAGAGCAAGGGAGCTAAGCTTATTTTTAATTTCTAATCTCTTCACCACTAAGCAATGGTCTGCACATAAGATACATTCAAAAAACATTTGTTGACTGACACCCAAAAACATTCCACAGAAGACGTGATACTTACACGCTATACACCTTTTACCCATCAATTCATATACCAATTTGCACCAACTAACATTTATTGGAAACTAGTCTGTGCAAAGACACAGAAGCAATTAGACAGAGGCTGCCCTCCAGAATTTTTGATCTATCTGGGGAAAAGAGGTCCACATAAAGGGATGCTCAATAGGACAGAAATGACCCACACAGGACCGTCAAATGTCATCATCAACCCCCACTGCCTCTGTCTTAGAGCCAACTGTCCTCTCCAGAAGCATTTCTTAATAATCTCATCCCCTAGAGCTCTAACAGGGGGGCCCTAATTTACTCGCTACAGTTAATGATTCTGCTGTGTCAGGTCCCTTGAGCTGTGCCTGGCTCCCCACCACAGTGCGAGCTGCTCCCATGATCACAGTGAACACAGAGACCTGGTCACATATCCTCGTAGCACCATAACCAGGAGATACCTGGTGAAGTATCTGCTGAATGGATTAACACTTCCTACACTTAGGGGACTGTTGTGCAGATTAAATGAGGTAGTAACGTGTAAAATGCTTACCTCAATCATTAGCTGACGTACTACTGAACCTACCATGCGAACAGCATCTATGAAACACCATACCTGTGTTTTACAGACTTTTTTACATCATAAATAGTAATCCCACTTCTACATAATCACACCTTGCACTGTTCCCACAAACATGAAGCTTTACATGTAAAAATGACTAGCTTGGGGGACTTACGGAATTTTCTCTACACACTAGATTTTGCTCAGAACAAAAGTCAAAATACTAAGACTGGTCTGTCACCTGCTGGCCAGTGTCAATGGAACCCTTACGTCTTTCCAAGATGCTGCAGCTGAGCTGCATGTGTGGGCATCACACATGTGCTGGGCTAAGGAGTATCAGGGCTCTGGCAAGGCCAGTGTGGAGAAGCAGTGGTGGGTCAGAGCAGGGCTACTTCAGCAGGCCATGGACTGGAATTCCATGGCCACAGAGCACCCCTGTTCTACCACTTTTTCCTGCTCCACTTTATGGCTGAAAGAAGTCAGGCACTGAGGATGGAGCTAAGAGACCCCTAGGGGACGGGGAGGGCCATCTGACAGGTTTCCTCCCCTGGACGTGCAGAGTTCCATTGTCTAAAACAATCTTCAGACAGACAGTGAAGTGCAGGAGAAAATCTTTACAACTTCCATTTACTTTAAATTTTGTATCTCATTCTTTGAAAATTCAGATTTGTGAATGTGTTATCTAATGTACATAATAATTTGACTTGTATAAACAACATGCTATATCAAAAAGGGTACGTGGTGATTTTAAAAAATGAAATTTAGAAACCACTAGTCTATTACAGTAGACTCCCAGGAGCCTGAAGGACCCAAGAAAGACGCCTGAGAGCAGAACAAGCCTTAAGTCCAGTCTAGAAAATTCTACTCCTGGTCCTGTCCTCTGCCTACAGTTCCCTGCCTGAGAGCCAGGCCTGGCCTCTTTCCTGGCCACTCGCCCCTGAATTCCGACTTCCGA